TTAAAAAAAGAAGGGGAGAAAGAGTCTGCACTTCTTCCAAAGAAATGTCTTGTTCACTCCTCGGGAAAGCCCAGACCCCTGCAGCCTCCACCCATGGGCTTCCCCAAGGACGGTGTGGCCTCTGAGCTAGCAGCTCCCTCATTCAGAGTGAGGGCAGCTAGGATGATTTCTGGTTTCTGGGTCTCCAAGCTAAATAGCCAGGAGGCTTTGGACCATCCCTTCCTTTGGCCTTGAACTCCTCAGGATCTTGTGCTCAGACTCAGTTTAAGAATCTCGAGTTTTTGAGGATGCGGAGAAAATGGAACCCTCATGCGCTGCTGGTGGGAATGAAGACTGGTGCAGCCACTGTGGAAGACAGTATAGAGTTTCCTCAAAAAACTAAAAATGGAACTGTCATTTGACCCAGTGATCCCACTTCTAGGAATATATCCCAAGAAATTAGAAACACCAATCAGAAAGGATATATGCATCCCTATGTTCATCGCAGCACAATTTACCATAGCTAAGATTTGGAAACAGCTTACGTGTCCATCAGCAGATGAGTAGATTAAAAACTGTGGTACATCTACACAATGGAATACTATGCTTTGGTGAAGAAGAAGGAATTCCTACCACTTGCAATAACATGGATAAAACTGAGAGCATTATGCTAAGTGAAATAAGTCAGAGAAAGATAAACATCACTTGCTTAAGGTCACACAGCTAGCTAGCTATCTCACTCATCTATGGGAAATAATGAACAACATAAACTGATGAACAAAAACAGATCTAGAGACAGGGAAGCATAGATCAGACTGTCAAACCTCAGAGGGAAGGTAGGGGAGGTTGGGGGTAAGAGGGAGAAATCATTCAAAGGATTTGTATTCATGCATATAAGCCTAGCCAATGGACACAAACACCCAGGGGGTGGGGGTGGGGGCAATGAGGGCATAATTGGGGGGGGGGAGTTGGGAAGGTAATGGGGGGATGAGGACACATGTGTAATAACTTAATCAATAAAGAAATTAAAATGCAAAAAGAAAGAAGAAAAAAAAGAATCTCGAGTTTGCTGTAGGCTTTCTGGAAGTGCCCTTTGGAACTGAACCTAGTTCTAAAAGGGTGATTTGATCCACAGACATTGCGGGTAGGGTTCCTGCAGAGGGCTACAGGCCTGGCACCATCTTTCTACTCTACACCTTTGGCCTGGTCTCCTGCCTCCTTTACTTCCTCCCATTCATTTCCCTGTTCAGCTGTCAAAGCCATTCTGCTAATACCTAAATCTGATTGCATCATTCCAAATTCCTCAGAGCTGTGGTGATCCTGATTGCTCTACCTCCTCACCCTTTCCGTTCCTGGCAGCTATGCACATGCTCTTCCCCCTGCTCAGTCCCCTCAGCCCCCTTCCACTCATTCCTCACCTTCTGAATCTCAGCCACAGTGGCTATCGGCCCCTTCAGATGTGGCATTGAGACTGAGGTATTAGAATTTTAATTTTATTAGTTGTAATGAATTTCAATTAAATTTACATTAATTCTCAGATTGCAAAGAAATTTTCTTTCCTATATTTTCTTCCTGTAGTTACGAATTAATTTTGTATATTAGAATACATTTGTATTTCTTTTAATATTTAAAATTTTCATAACCAGATGTCTACCTATGGTATTTTTTTTGTTTTCCAAAGATTGTCATACAAACATATATCCCATCCCACATTTTCTTCTGACAATGTGACATGGACAATCCTTCAGAGAGAGGTGAAACTGGTGGACCTGCTTAACTGCCTTGACCAAAAGGACATTATGGTAGTGACAGCCTGTGCCTTCTGAGGCTGATCACTAAGGGTATTGCCTCTTCCACCTGGGCCTCCCAGATTGCTCACTTTAAGGGAAATGAGCCCCCGTGATCCTTTATGTGGAAGGAACTAAAAGACCTCTGCAAACAGCCACACCAATGGCCCAGTCATGTCATAGAGCCACCCTGAAATGATTCTCCAGTCCCAATCAGACCTTCACAGAACTACTGCCTCTGCTAACATCTGATTGAAATTTTATGGGCACACCCCCACCCCCACCCCCGACAAATGAGACCTGCCCAGCTAAGGCTTTCCAGAAATTCCAACACTCAGAATTTGTGAACACTATAAATGTAGTTTGAAGCCATTAGTTTTTTTGGGGGGTGTTGTTATGGAGTAATAATAATTAGAACACTACTCATTTCCCCCCAACACCATTTAATGATTAGTTAATCATTTTCCCAGAGAGATTGAGATGTCACTTTCATCATAAATTTAATCATCATAGATTATGAGCCAATTGGACTCCTTCTGTTCTATTGGACTATACCAACTTAAACACTAATATCAACTTGTTTAAATTTTTTGATGCTTTGTTATATGTTACTATCTAGTAGAGGTTACCACCCTCCAATACTTGTCTAGCCTTTTTTATTAAGCTTATAAAAATTGATATATTTATGAGATTGCAGCTTCTTACACAAAAATGCAATATACTTTCTTATTTAAGTTTGCTTTGTGATATTCAGGAGTGTTTTTAAGTTTTCTTCATATTTATTTACTTAGTTTTCTTCATATTTAGCTGATTGTTTTTATAGAGCCTACATTTAGGAATTTAATAATTTTATTAATGTTGTAAATTGTTTTTTTTTTCCTGTTATCTGGCCATTCTAACTATTTGTGATTTATATATATAACAATTATTGATTTCTATATATTATTTTTGTATGCCACTTCCTTACTGAATAATATGTTTATTTATGGTAGCTTTTAGCTGATTCTGTTAGTTTACCAGGTATGCAACAATACTATCTGCCAACTGCAATTGCTTTATCTTCTCCTTTCTAATATTTATATCTCACGTTATTTATTACTCTTTTCGCACTAACACATCTAGTATAGTGTAGTTGTGAGAGTGGGTGTTTTTTAGTGATACTACCTCTAATACAAAGTCTAGCCACAGGAGGCTCTTGGACTGTTGAACAGTGACTATGAAGACTGGGGAATTTTATTAGTTTTAATTAATTTAAATGTAAATAGCTACTTGTGGATAGTGATTATTATATTGATCAACACAGGACTAGAATTTCTTCATTTACCGTACTGTTAGCTTTTGGATTCAGACAGGAATTTAACACATGTGGAATATTCAAATATCCTTATTTCATTGGCTTTCTAAAAATAAAAAAAGTAACTGTTGAAATTTGTAAAATGCTTCTTCAGTATCTATGATGATGATTATGTGGGTTTTCTTCTTATATATACTAACACAGTAAATTATATTGAATCATCCTTGAATTGGATTAAACCCAACTTGATCATGATGTGTTATTCTTTTAGTGTGTTTCTCTATTCTGTTTGTTAATATTTTATTTAGGATTTTTTAATCAATACTAACCATCTTTTGTACGATCTTTGTTAGATTTTATATCAATGAATTCTCACTTCTTAAAAAATAAAAAAATAAAAACTTGATTTTTTTTTTTTCTTCAAATTTATTCTAGACCTGTCAGGTTACATAGTACTGTCATTATTTGCTTTTAAAGAGTTTCCTAGTAAAAAGAAGCCTAAAAATACTTTCTCTATTTATCTTATACAAATTAATCTCTTTAGCTTCCTATATCTTTTAGGCTCTGTTTTGGTAAGTTGCATTTTCCTACAAGTTATCTATTTCATCCAGATTTTCAGAGAATTTCTTTGTGAAGAAGTACTTCATTTATTTATTTTAATTTAATGCTTCTTGGTTCTACCCTCATGTTTATAACTTTTAGGAATTGCCTTTTCTAGACATCCTCCTTCTTTTACAATGATCAGGTGACCCAGTGGTTCACCTATTGTATTAATAAGAACAAGACTTAAAAATGTTTATTTATTTGTCCTGATTTTCCTATATTCTAACTTACCTTTTTCACTTTTTCTTTATTAATTTACTTTTTCTGCTTTCCAATAATGTTGGCTCCTCTTTTTCAAATTTTAGACATATGTTTGGTCCATTTGCTCCTGGACTTTTTAGTTGATGTAAGTATCAAGCATAGATTTTCTTCTGAAGCTGCCTTTTCAGGATCTCATAGCTTTAATACATAATATTTTTACTGATGCTCTTTTAAAAATTCTGTCTAAATTAAAAGTTATTAATTGAAGTACATAGATCTCTAAATTATTTTTAATATTATCATAAATTTCTAGTTTTATGGCTTTGTAAGAAGATATTACCATAAGTATTTCCACATTTTGGGAGTTTTGAGCTTTGGACTTTTTGATACATTTTTATGTGTATAAAATGGGCATTTGGAAAAACATAAGAATTTGAAATACACAAATTACATTTGTTTTATACTTGTTCAGATATGTTACATTTATTTATTATTAATCCACTTGATAAATTGAATTTTAACCCCATAATTTTATTTTAGTTAATGTCTTCTTATATCATATCTAATTTCTGCTTTTTAAAATATTGCTGCTGTGAATTTGGTGCATGGATTTTCAAAATTCTTATAGCCTCACTATGAATGGCATACTTTATCATTTTAAATGCCCTTCTCTGTTTGGTTTACTATTTTCTTTAACTTGAATTTAATATTTTCTTATAGGAATGAAGAGGGAGAGACAGAAACATCAACTTGGGGAGACACATAGATTGGTTGCCTCCCACATATGCCCCAACCAGGCCTGGGATCGAGACTGCAATGTACCCTTGACTGGAATCGAACCCAGGACCTTTCAGTCATCAGACAATGCTCTATCCACTGTCCAAACCAGTTGGGTGTGATTTATACATGCTAAAGTGAATCTTTAAAATGCTTCCTTGGATTAGTCTAGACATATACACACACCCATAAACCCTCTATGCCCTCCTGCTCTCCCACACTCTGCCCTGGAAATCTTTCTGCTGTGGTCTCTTTGGACTCAGCTTCTCTTCACCCCCAGGCTCTGTCTGGATTCCTTTCTCAGGCTACAGCCTGGTAACCCTCATAAGAGAGCAAACCAGGTCACTTGAAGGACTCACTTCACTGGCTTCCTGTCTTTCAGGGGCTGCTGCCTTTCATTTCCAGATAGCTGGTGTCCTGAGAACCACTGTTTGATATACTGTCTGGTCTTTTAGGTTGTTTCAGATGGGAGAGTAAATCCAGGCTTCTTATCCATCTTGGCTGGAATCAGAAGTTAAGCTAGTTTTTTACTCACCATTCATTTATTTATTTTAATGTATTTTGTTACTCACTGCATAAACAGGTTTGTTATTTTTGTGTCTAGTTTTCCTGCTATTTGGGGTGGTTTGTATTTCTGCCCAGCTGTTACCATATCGATTTAGTTTGCCCTACTTTTTGGATGATATTAATTTAATTAGTTCATTACTCTAGCAATGACATCATTAGTATGCTTGTCATATTTTTCTTCCTTTTCTCAAGAAACCAATTTCAGTCAATAAAAATCAACAAGCAAACATCTATATAGTATATGCTACCCACCAGGTACTATGCTAGCTACCTTATATTTTGTATTTCATTTAATCTTTACAATAAATCTGTGGAAAATACATTGCTCATATTAGAGACAAGAGGCCCAGTGCACGAAATCCGTGCACTGGGGGATAGGGTGTCCCTCAGCCCACCCTATACCCTCTCTTTCCAATCTGGGACCCTTTGGGGAATGTCCAACTGCTGGTTTAGGTCTGATCCCTATGGGAAGTCAGACATCCCTCTCACAATCTGGCACTGCTGGCTCCCAACCACTCACCTGCTTGATTGCCACTAGATGTTTCTGCCTACCAGCCTGACCACCCCCTAACCACTCCTCTGCCAGCCTGATCAACACCTATTTCACTTGGGCCTGATTGTCCCCAACTGCCACCCTCTGCCGACCTGGTCACCCCTAACTGCCCTCCCCTGCAGGCCTGGCCCCCCACCACTGCCCTCCTCCCCTGCAAGCCTGGTCGCCCCCAACTGTCCTCCTCTGCTGTCCTGGTTGCCCCTAATTGCCCTCCCTTGCTGGCCTGATCACCCCCAACTACCCTCTCTTGCTGGCCTAGTCACCCCTAACTGCCCTTTCCTGCTGGCCTGGTCACCCCAACTGTCCTCCCCTAATAGCCTGGTCACCTCTAACTGCCTTCTCCTATGGGCCTGATTGCCCACAACTGCCCTCCCCTGCCAGCCATCTTGTGCCAGGGCATGATAGTCAATTTGCATATCACCTCTTTATCATATAGGATGATGATGAAGCCCACAAGAAGTTATGATAACCTATCACCCAGAACTCATGGCAGTGGTAGAATTAAGTCCAAAATACTCTTATACAAAGTTCAGAGCTCTTACCACTACTCCACAGTTACCTTTACTATACTGAACTCTGCCCTCCTAATGCAAGCACACACACACACCCACACACTCACTTTATTCTGAGAACAAACTTGGCCTTATAGCTCAATATATAGACAGGATACACCTGGACGAATATAATTTGCCTGTTTTTCCAAACTCTAGGTTCAGAGTCTGGCTTGCAGACAAGGTACAGATGAAAATCTTCCTGGACCCCGGCCAAGAAGAGGAGAAAGGGTGGGAAAGGCTTGCCCCATGGCCTGCAGTAGCGCTGAGTAACCCAACTTGGACTAATACGTACAGAGCAGCTGGAGAAATCATGCCACTGATACTACTGGCCTGTCCAGCATGTGACGGAGTTCTTTGGCACCCATGCTCACTTGAACTTTTCATAGCAGTATTATAGCTGAGGAAGTGGAGGCTCAGAGACATTTAATGTCTTATCGAAGGTCACACAGCTAACTGGTGATAGGGTCTAGACAACAATCCCAGATCTCCTAACCACTTGTCCAGGGCTTTTCTCATGATCTGTTTCTGACTTCATGGATGGCATTTACCCTTTCATAGTTTTAACTGTACCTCATTGATGTGTGAGAGGAGAATTAATATGTCCATGTCCTTAGCACTATACTATGAGCTGCAACAGATAAAAAAAAAATTTAAAAATAAAAATTGTCCTTCTCAATACTCACTTATTCATTTACCCATTCATTTATTCATTCTAAGTGTTCACTCAGTGTCAGGCCCTGTTAGGAACTGGGGAATACTCCTCAAGGGGCTCACTGTGTAATGAAGGAGACAGATTCAAAAGTCAGCTTTTTCAATTCAGTGGAAAAAGCTAGGAATATTTGGGGTGTGACTTTACTCTGTTTGTGAGATCCAGAAAGGCATCCCTGAAAAGAGCTGAATGTAGAAGGGTCCAGAGTAGCTAAAGGAGTCAGATTTGATACTGACAGAGGCAGAAGTGAGCATGTTGCCCTCGGAGGACCAAAATGATGTTCATGAAAGGGATGAGAGCAAAGCTGAGAGCTAGGAGTGCAGACTTTCTCCTGTAGTTGTTGAACACAGATACAAAAGCAGTAATATGATCATGTTTGATTAGAAAGATCACTGAGGCACAGTGGGAAGAATGGACTAGCAGGGAGTGGGACCAATGAAGGATTGGTCCACGTGAGAGCCTACACTGGGGGTGGGAGGGGGATGGGAGGATTGTTCTGGTTCCCCCTTACCCACATTTTAGGGCTCAGTCTGGTTAGATGCTCCTCCTCTGGCACCCTGAAGCCTTGCTATCAAGCCCTCAGGCAGAGAAGAGTTCAGGGAAGGTTAATAGCAATGGTTTTGAAGGCGGCTTTCAAAGCTGTTGCATCCTGTTTCCACTGCTAACTAGCTGTGTGACCTTGGACATGGTATTTAATCACTGTTGCTTCAGTTTCCTCACCTATCAACTAAAATATATAATAGTACCTATCTCTTAGGGTTATTGGCATGACTAAAAGAATTGAATGCATATAAAGCTCTTAGAATAATGCCTAGCAATAATTAAGCATACAATAGGCGTGGCCTTTTATTATCATTACACACATTCACTGTGTGTTTATGGGCGTACCTGACCATCAGGTATACTCCTTGTAGACAGCCTGGGACAGGGAAGGTTCTCAATAAATAACTGTTGATGATGATAGAGATGATGGTTAATGAGAATAAAATAATTCCCACATTCTGAACTGGAACAGAAAGATGGTGGTGATGTCAGGGCTGAGACAGGGAGCTTGAGAGAAGGAGCTGGTTCAGAGGGGTAGGCTGCTAATCTGCCCAAGATCAAATCTATAGGATCTAGAGAAGCTGAGGCTTGAACCAAGGCCTATTCATATTCCATAAACAGCATATGTAATCTGCATGTCTGTGCTCAGAATGAAGGTATTTAATAAAATAATATATATCAAATGAGTTGGTGAATACTTGAATGAATGGATTTCTTTGGTATCAAGGTTGCTCCTATGTTCATTGGTAAATAGATGTCTGTGGAAATGGGGGGGTGGGGAAGGGGGGATAAAAAAAGAGAAAAGAAAATGACCATGAAAAATTACAAAAGAAAGAACTAGTAATAGATATTCAGTGAATGAACATGAGGACCTGGCTTCCTTCTTTTTCCTCTTTTCTGACCTATCAGTACTTTTATATATGACCTCCAATTTTACAATCATTATAATGGACTCTTGCAAACTAGTAGGAAGGATGACTAAAACTACCCAGCAGAACATTTGCAAAGCCCAAGCAAAAAAAAAAAAAAAAAAAAAAAAAAAAGAACAAAATTAGGGACATAGGAAAATGCCTGATAACAGGAGAACCAGTCACACAGGCCCCTCTACACATAATTCCAATTTCAACCACCACCTCCGCAGAGGCAGATTTCTTAGGTCAAGCTGCTTGTGAGATTAGCACCCAAGTATTAGGGCAGAAAGATCTGTCTGCATAGTTTCCATAGTTTCTATTTGAAATTGATAAGCTCTCCTTCAGTGCAAGTCTCAATAGTATAGTAATAAAAATAATAATGATAAGGACATATTATAATATATAACATTAAATATTAATATAATAAAAATAATAATGATAGACATGTTATAATATATAACATTAAATATTAATATAATTATAATAATACCTATAATTTATTGAATGTTTACTGATTCCAGAAACTGGTATTAGGAAACGTTATTTCATTTAAACCTCACCAAACCCTACAAGAAAAATACTGTTATCCCCATTTTAAAGATAAGCAAACTAAGCCTAAGAGAGTAATGTCACTCAGCAAGTAAGTAGGAAATCAGGACCTGAACCCCAGTTTGCCTAACTCCAAAGCCCATTGCTGCAAACCCTAATTTATGTATAATTTTTCTTCTTGATTCCTTTGAATTTGGAGCTGTATGGATTAAATTCATCCACATAAGCTAGTTGAGGCATGGAGTTCATATTTGAACACCAGGTATGACAAGAGTGCCCCTGCTCAAAAGCTCTTTGTCAGTCCAAAAAATTAGAGGCTTGATATGCAAAGATCAAGAGACATGGATTCAGAGAATGAGGTCCAAATGAACTTGGCCTCATACTAGCTGTGAGGCTTCTTGGATCATTTAAATTCTTTGGGCCTCTGTTAATTTCTTAGATTTCATGTGTTGCCCTCCAACTTCCCAAAATAAAAGGGGTTATCTAAATGATCTCTCAAGGCTTTTAGGAAATGAATTTTTTGTTTCAGCATTTGTATTTTTTCTAATAAAAATTTTTCTAGTTAATATGTCATACTTACTAAAGAAAAAAAAAGATACTTGTTCAAAAAAAAGTAATACATGATTTTTAAAGAGAATACAGAAGAGTAGAAAGAAAAATCCTATTCTATTTAGTGCAAAGGAAGTCTCTTCAAATTTCAAATGTAAAGGATAGTCAAAGAGGCTTGATACAGCCTTAACATTTCACAATAATCAAAAATCATTTTTGATTTTTATAAACATTACTTACTTCCCTTTCTAAGACTTACATATCATATCTACATTTCAGTGTTCAGGTATAAAGACTTAAGTTAAATAAAGTTATGAAGCCTTTATTTATTTATTTTTGATGACTGCAAATAAAATAAAGCAAAACAAAAACCCCTTGGGAAATACATTTTTCCCAGAATAATTCACTCTACCACCTCTTGCTAAGCACCTACTATGCCCAGGGCTTGTGCAAGGAGGGATCCTGAATGCAGTGTGGTCCTTGGTGAGGAAGCCCAATGCCTAGAGGGGAAAAAGCGACTGAAGGGAAGTGCCTGTTGCCATGAGAGAGTATTAGGCGGAGCTATT